AAAAATGCTATTTTTGAAGATATAAAATCCTATTTTAACATCAATATAAAGACAATTTCTTAGAGTAAAAAATGATGTTTAGACAACTAAAGAACCTTATATGATGTATGACGATAAGCTAGGGTGTTAACACTCGATGCTAGGCCGCTATTTGTTATTGGATATTATGATGATTATTATTGATTTTGTTTATGATCAGACTTTGATGAATATTCTTATTAAAATAATAATTATGAATGATTGAATCATGATTAAAAATGAATTAATTGATGATTATGAAAATGATGTGTATTGTTAAGGATATCTAGAAGATGATGTGTATTTTGGTCAGCATGAGAACCTGTTGCCGCTAACGCCGCCACCTGGCCCTTAGTCATCTGGAGGTCGGCGCTTAGATTATTGATGGCCTGTAGGAGATCGTCCATGGTGATGGCGCCTTGGGCTGGAGTCTCGGGTGTTGGAGTCGACATGAGAACGTCAATGAGAGCACCAGTTGATAGGAAAACTTGGCGGAAAAAGAACGAGAAACCCTAGGCGGAAACGTTGGGTTGTCCCTGGGAGTTTCGTACGTGCAAAAGGAGAGAAGAAGAGATTCTACTAAACTAAACTTTTGTATTATTGCTTTCTTGACAAAGTAAGGGGTCTTCTCTTTATATACTCCGTAATAGAGAAACCCTAATCCTAATCCTGTCGGTTCAAGAAAAGCGTCAAGGGAAAGAACCGAAAAGAAAACCCTTGAAGGGACGTATAATTCTTCCACCTAACAAAATATAATTTACAAATATAAAAGGAACATAAGAAAAATATTAAACGTAATCGCCGTAACGTCAAGGTCGTCGCATAGTCCGTTTTGGTCGTCCCGCTCCTTGGGCATCTTCTTGATCATTCCCATACTCCGCATGGGCTTCATGTGTAGGGCTAGTAACATCATGGGACGTATTTGACAACTCCTCATCTAATGTTGGACCTGTATCAACCTTCCTCCACCGTGAGGTTGTTGAAATGCTACTATGAGGTTTCGGAGTCCTGTCATTCATCATTGTGAGATCATCTAAGTGCCATTGTCGGTCGGAGCTGACCACGGTTGATCACTAATGACCCACAATTAACGAGTCTCATTTAATGTTTATTTTTTTATTTGCACTACCATCATACTTTTATATCACATTTCCATCACGCTCCTATTTTGAAAACTAAAGTATATCCACTCTTATTTTGATATTTTTGTAAAATTTTACTCTTATCTAAGGAGATATCTTTAAAATAAACAAACATGCAAGAAATAATACTTACCCAGTGCTAGAAATAGAGAGAATGAAAGAATTTTCAATGCCAAATAGTATAGATATAAGAAGCACTAACAGTGAAGAGGTTATGACAATCGCATTGTTAGGCTTGTCGTAGCACCTACAAGTTAATTTATTATTTTCCTTGACTCTTAACCCCCTTTATGAATCAATATTTATTAAAACATATAGATAGGACAAGTAAGGGTCAATCCCACGAGAAAAGATACTTTTATTGCAATGAAAATCACATTACTTTATCACTTTGCCACGGATGGAATGTCTAGAGGGTTGTGGTCTGGAAACTTAATGACAAAATACCTCCTAGCCCATTCTCGATCTTTAGCTCTACTTTTTTGAAAATGGGGTAATGCTTGTTCGGATACACACTAAAATAAGGAAAGGGGCCACTGAGACTAAACATAGTTGTGAAATCCTCGATGGACGGAACCCTTTGCTTATCATGACAGCAAAGGATCTAAGAGGCGTAGTACTTATGGGCGTTCAAAGTAAATGTAACGCCCCAAAACATGGCCTAAAAGTTATTTTATGATAAAAGAATTTCAAAAAAATATTTCGAACCAACAAATTAAAGTATTATTTCTATGTTTGACCAAAAATGAAGGAATTTCTGGAGTCAGTAATCTTTTGTTAAAATTGAGTTTTTATGGATAGGTCTCGAAGAGACGAATCCAACAGTATAATTTATGAATAAATCTGATGTACATATTTTGAGTTGTCACATTTTAAATATGTAATCTGCATAAAAATAAAAGGTGGTTAAAGATGTAAACTTTTGTAAAATGATTTATTGAAATAAATTATTTAAATTGAATAATATTGATTGAATATGAGAGTACTTTTAATTATATATCAATTAATTCAATTTTGACTCTATCAAAGTCAAAACCCAAAAATATGGTGTCAGAAAAAGCATTTCAAAAAAATGTGAAAATTATATTGTCGCGTAGAACTTGACTGTCTCACCGTAACAGTACAATCAGATTTTAATTTGGAGAAAGTTGGACAAAAAAATGTACCCCAATTGGGATCATTTTAGTCCCAATCAAGGAGAGGCGTATAAAATAACCCCAAATCACACTAAGGATCCCCTACGAAAGAGGATAGCCACTGGAAGGATTTTTGAAGCTGATTTGTTTGGCTTAACCTTCCTCTTCTCCCTTTAAATAGACCTTTCATTCTCTTTCATTTCTGCACCAAACTCCCTCATTCTTCTTCTATTCTACTCCTTGTTGTCTAGAGAACAATCCGCAAAGTGATCGCTACCGATAAAGTCACTGGAGGTAGCCACGGTTCTTTCCGGAAGTTGTCCCGGAAAGTTGAATGAAGAAAACATCCCCTGTGCAAATCAGCCCACTTGTGAGCATTTTTACACTATCTAAACTTCATTATTTTAATCTGGTTTCGAACAAAAGTTATAGCCTTATGTCTTACGAATCCATAGCTTCAAACGGTTTGCGATTTCGTTGAGTAACGAAGGAGATATGACCCGAAAACCAGGGTTGGTACAGTGGTGACGGGAAGTGACGAGTTTTGAGACTTTTGGCGTTGTTTCCGCTCCCGTTCGTTCGTTGAGCTTCATCTCGTTGATTTCCAGGTCTGTACCATGATTTTAAACAACTTTAGAACGCATTTGAATGATCCTTAAACTTATTGATTCATATATATTTGAAAATATAAATATTTTCATATTCATAATCACTAAAATTGTTTTGTTGTTAAAGCTTCAAATAAATTGTTTGTGAGTGATCTATGGATGTTAGAAAACATTTTTATGAAGTTAGTTTAAAGCTTAGAAGCTTTTTATTGTGTTTTGAGAAATTGGATCGAAGGTTGAAGATGAATAGTAACTCAATTTTTCATGCGTTTTCCAGAACGGTACGAACGACCGTGCGGATCCAACGGTCAACCATTACGAATATTTTAAGTCCAAAAATGCTATTTTTGAAGATATAAAATCCTATTTTAACATCAATATAAAGACAATTTCTTAGAGTAAAAAATGATGTTTAGACAACTAAAGAACCTTATATGATGTATGACGATAAGCTAGGGTGTTAACACTCGATGCTAGGCCGCTATTTGTTATTGGATATTATGATGATTATTATTGATTTTGTTTATGATCAGACTTTGATGAATATTCTTATTAAAATAATAATTATGAATGATTGAATCATGATTAAAAATGAATTAATTGATGATTATGAAAATGATGTGTATTGTTAAGGATATCTAGAAGATGATGTGTATTTTGGTCAGCATGAGAACCTGTTGCCGCTAACGCCGCCACCTGGCCCTTAGTCATCTGGAGGTCGGCGCTTAGATTATTGATGGCCTGTAGGAGATCGTCCATGGTGATGGCGCCTTGGGCTGGAGTCTCGGGTGTTGGAGTCGACATGAGAACGTCAATGAGAGCACCAGTTGATAGGAAAACTTGGCGGAAAAAGAACGAGAAACCCTAGGCGGAAACGTTGGGTTGTCCCTGGGAGTTTCGTACGTGCAAAAGGAGAGAAGAAGAGATTCTACTAAACTAAACTTTTGTATTATTGCTTTCTTGACAAAGTAAGGGGTCTTCTCTTTATATACTCCGTAATAGAGAAACCCTAATCCTAATCCTGTCGGTTCAAGAAAAGCGTCAAGGGAAAGAACCGAAAAGAAAACCCTTGAAGGGACGTATAATTCTTCCACCTAACAAAATATAATTTACAAATATAAAAGGAA